AGGCACTTCGGGGCTCTATGAGGTCCAGTACACCTGGGTTGTGTGGAAATTCCGCTCTGGGCCTGAGTCTTTTCAGCAAACTGCACCCCCTTCAGTTCTATATTCCTGATCAGTCTCCTCTGAATGGTCCTATGCTAATTGGGGGACAGAGTAGCTGTTCTTGCTGTGTCCCAATGTTCCCCTGGTGGGCCTGTCTCTCCCACCACCTGCATTACAAACACCTCCCATAGGACGGGCTGTGGGCTTGTCCCATGCAATGACTCACCAGGCTCTGAGTGGCTCCTTATTTTCAGTTGTTGTGGTTCCTTACTCCGATATGGGTCCATGGGAACCCTATTAGTTGTCTTGCTGGCCTGGGGGTCACCAACGACCTCTTCTCCCTTGCAGCCCCCAAGGAACTTCATCCAAAGGGCACAGCTGTGGCTTTTGCCAACTCCTGCTCCGTGTGCTCACCAGCTCCAGACTTGAAGCGGCTGGGGCTTGAAATGGTCAGAGCGGTTCTTTCTTTCTCTCCTGGCTTCTCCTGCCTTCGTGAACTATGTAGGTCTCTCCTCCTCTTCCCCTGAGCTCCGGCAGGCCCAGCTTGGCTGTTGTTGCTTTTTTATAGTTGTAAATTGGTTGATTTGTGGGAGAGAGTGACGCTGGGGCTGTCTATTCTGCCATCTTGACTGGAAGCCTCCAGGATCCTCTTGATGGAGGCGGTGAGCCTCATCATTTGCCTCGTCTATGACAAGTCACTTCTCATTAGCAGTTAATAAAATGTTCATTAAGGCTGCACATCTGCCCACATGGGTCAATGAGTGTTGAAAATGCTGGCAAAGAGATCAGCCATTTTTTGAGGATCATCTCTATATGGAGGATTTGAATGTTTCCAGTTTTATAAGTCTGAGGTAGGGAAAGGTGTATATGCTCAGTAAAATCCTGCAGGTTGGCTGTGTACATTCAGTCCACCAACTGGGAATTGGCAGAGTGGAAATTTCTCTTCTATGGCTGGGTATGCACCCGGGCTGAAATGGGTGTCCTAACTGGTCTTGGAGGAGAGATTGTCCTGGGGCCCTGATTATATAGGAGAGGGGATGATGCCCTAATTAACTCATCTTCATCAGGAAGCTCTGGGGCCACCATTTGAGGCTGAGGTGCCTTAGGCAGTGGCTCAGGAAGGGGTGTTGCTGCAGCCATACCAGGTCCCACAGGATTCAAAGCCTCTAACAACTGTTGATTTTCCATTTCATTATCCCCTTTTATTCCCACTGTCTGGCAAAAGGGGATAACAAGGTGGCTTATCAGATAGTTTAGAGGAGCTGCCTTGTTGTACCATTAATTTGGACCCTAGTCCTCCTCTTGAAGAGTCCTGGTTATGTAAAAGCATGAAAGACTGAACATAAGGTATTTCATCCAATTTGCCTTGTCTTTGGCAAAACAATTCCAATTATACCAAGGTATGATTAAGAAATCCATTTAGTGGCCACTGTTCTCTAGAGTCTTAACACATACATAGGCCACACACATTTCCTATTCATGCTCAGTAAGTGAAGAACTTTTTGTCTCGTGTAGGCTACTAATTTTATTTTTTCTTTCAGAGACATTTTTTCTCATTCTTCATGACCTGTTCTTCTCCAGGCTCCTCTGTGGGGTCCTGCTCAGTCTCTTTCCTTGGGAGCCATCTGATTGCTGGTTTCAGCAACCAGGAAGATGCAGGCAAATCCCCAGTCCTCACTTTTATCATGGGCTTCTCACCTGAGCTCCAGAACCACACGACCAGCTGCTCTCTGGAGATCTCTCCTGCCTGTTTCATAGACACTTCAAGCACAGCATGTTAAGACCTCTCTAACCCTTACCCTCTGCCTAACCTCTTTATTTCCATCTCACAGTCTTTGCAAATGACACCTAGATTTAGCTGGATGCTTGTAAAGATACCCTGGGGGATAATCTCCCTTTCTTTCCTTCTGTACCATGAATCAAGGACCTGATTTTCTCGGAGCTTTTTCTGTTGGATCAAGTCTCTGTTCTGTCTACTCATTACCACTTGAATTAGGTGGTCAATTTTCATCTTGGTCTTTTCCCTGTATTTCCCCTTAAGCCATTATCCACCATTTGCTGACCAGTGGAAATATAATGCAAGCCACATAAGTAATTTTAAGTTTTCTAGTAGGCAAATTTTTTTAAAAAAGTGAAAAAGAAGCAGGTGAAGTTAATTTTAATAATGTATTAATTTAACTGAGTGTATCCAAAATACCGTAATTTCAATTTGAAATCAGTATTTAAAAACACTATGAATAAAATCTTTCACATTTTTTTTGTTTTCACTGTTTGAAATTTGGTGTATATTTTATAATTGTAGCACACCTTAGCTTGGCCTAGCTACATTTACAGTGCTTAGGAACACATGCAGTTAGGGGCTACTGTATCGGTTAACACAACTCTGCATCATTGCTCGTAAATAACTTAATCTGGAGCGCAAAACCTAAAATGAGAAATTGAACATGTAACTCTAGTGTTTATTCCACCTCTTTGGTGACTCTATCATTTGCATATGTGATTTCAAATGGTGGGCTAGGACTGGCCGGTTAGGTCGTTGGTTGCTGTGTGGTATTGGTAACATCATGGTAAAGGGTTCTGTCTGATTTAAAAATAATAATAATAATAATAACAAATTGTGGATCAAATGGTGGGCTAAAAGCATGATTCTGGACCATCAGCAGCATGAGCATCATCTGGGAACTTGTTGCAGATTAAGTTATTTAAGAGGCAATCCCTCTTGTATTTCGGATGTATTTTATGAGTTTGATTTTGATTTTTTTTTATATTTTATTTTTTAAAAGATGACCGGTAAGGGGATCTTAACCCTTGACTTGGTGTTGTCAGCACCACGCTCAGCCAGTGAGCGAACCGGCCATCCCTATGTGGGATCCGAACCCGGGGCCTTGGTGTTATTAGCACCGCACTCTACTGAGTGAGCCACGGGCCGGCCCTGATTTTGATATTACCATATGTTACTTTTCTTGCCTCTTTTCTAAATCAGGGATTAGCAAATTGTGGCACATAGGCCAAATCCAACCTGCCACTTTTTTTTTTCTTTCGCAGCTGGCTGGCGCCACTTGTTTTTGTAAATAAAGTTTTGTTGGAAGACAGACAAGCCCATATGTTTGCATATTGTCTGTGACTGATTTCACATTATAGTGGCAGAGCTGAGTAGTTGCAACAGGGACTGAATGGTTTTCAAAGTCTAAGTTATTTACTGTCTAGCTCTTTAAAGAGAAGTTTTCCATCTGCTGCTCTAGATCACTGTTTTTCAGGCTTTAATGTCTATCAGAGTCACTTGGAGGACTTGTTAAAGCATTGTTTGCTGGGCCTCACACCTACAGTGTTTATGTAGATATATTAGTTAACTAATGCTGTGTAAGAAATTGCCCCCAAACTTAGTGGCTTAAGCCAACAACAGACATTTATTATCTCATGTCATTTTTTTTTAATTTAAAAAATTTTTATCTCATGTAGTTTTTGTTGGTCAGATATTACCAATGGGTTAGCAGGGTGGTTCTAGCTTGGTGTCCTGGGGCTGTAGCCATCTGTAGCCTTAGCTGGAGCTGGAGGATTGACTTCTGTGATGGCTCACTCACATGGCTGGCAAGTTAGTGCTAATGTTTGGCAGGAAGCCTCATTTTCTGGCCATGTGGATCTTGCCACAGGGTGCTTGAGCATCCTGCTGACATGGCAGCTAGCTTTTCCCGGAGATGGTGATTCAAGAAGGAGTAAGGAACACCAGTGTATCTTATGAACTAGCCTCAGAAATCACACTCTGTTATATCTGCAGCATTCTATTGGTTACAAAGGTCAACCCTATTTAAAATGGAAAGGAAAAAAAGAAAAAAAGGAAAAAAAAAAATGGGCCGGCCCGGTGGCGCACTGCTTCAGTGCGCCACTTGGGAGCATGGTGGCGCTCCCACCGAGGGTTTGGATCCCACATACAGACCGGCCGCTCACTGGCTGAGCAAGGTGTGGGCATGACACCGAGGGTTGCGATCCCGTTGCTGGTCACAAAAAAAAAAAAAAAAAAAAAAAAAAAAGGTAAAATGGAAAGGGAAGGCACAAAGGCATGAATACTAGGAAGTGAGCATCACTGGGGACTATCTTGGAAGCTGCTATCACAGTAGGTCTGGGGTGTGGCCTGAGAATTTGCATTGACCTGGGGACCACACTTTGAGAACACTGTCCTGGGGAGTGCCCAAGGAAAGGTATTGGAGTGTAGGAAAGAAATACTAGCATATTTATATTAAAAAAACCAACCCACTAAGAGTGATATATACATATAAATGTGTAAATAGCTATGCTGGGTGAGTGCTCAATTTTAATTAAGGAGTAAATGATCAAATATTTTGGAACCCCTAGCCTGTGGGAATATGTCCCTAATTACTTACAATCTTGCTCCTGATTATGTCTTGTGAGGTTTTATCTTAATACATCTGAAACCCTATTCTCCTGTTGTATAGTTCCATTAACTTACCAAGTGTTCTTTATCTCTCTATGCCTTTGTTTGTGTAGTTGGCTCATATTTATAAAGAACACATGATTTATGTATCAAGACTTAAAGCTTTACTCCTCAATCATGCTCAACCTGATAATAAAAAATAGAACTTTTCTGTTTGCAACTACCCATCTACTTTTCAGAGACTCTCTAGCATCACTACTGTAATACTTAGTGTAGGTATTTATGTTTAAATATGACTCTGACCTGATTATACTTGAAAACAGGATTATTTTATTCATCTTTATATCTTCAGAAATTGGAATCGTTCCTGGCACACTGGCAGGACCTTATATACTTTTTGTATGAATTAAGAAATAAATACCCTGATTTCTCACTTTCCCACAATGTGTAATACTAATAATAGGCATCCTATGTAGCCTTGAACTATCAACATGACAAGGCGTTAGATCCTAAACATGTTGGACGCTATCCACTCTGGTTACTGTAGATGAACACAAATGTGCTATTCTAGGGGTCAGTGTCATTTGGCGATGTGGCTGTGGACTTCACCCAGGAGGAGTGGTGGTACCTGGACACTTCTCAGAGGATCCTGTACAGGGACGTGATGCTGGAGAACTACAGCCACCTCGTCTCAGTGGGTAAGGATTGTGTTATTTGTCACTCTAAATGACATTTAATTCCTTTTTAGCTGCTGATTACAGGTGGTTTCTTTGTAGAAGGCATGATTTAAAGTCTTCAGTTTCAGGAGTCAAAGCCGATTGTTCCCTTTTGGGCACTATAAGGAACATTTGTTTTCTTTTCTCCAGTGAAATGTTCAGTAGACCTATTTTTGTGCAGGTGCACCTTTGTCCTCCTTTAAAGATTCTGAACCTCAGGTTACCTGGCCCATGTCTTGTGTCATTTCCATTCACAGGGTATTGCATTACCAAACCGGAGGTGATTTTCAGGTTGGAGCAAGGAGAGGAGCCACGCATGTTAGAGGAAGAGCCCCCAAGCCAGCGACATCCAGGTGAGTGAGAGAGTATATAGGAAACTGTAAACGAGGGAGAAATGGATCCCAGTGAGGTAGTTCACATATTGCCGTCTTTGAAATTTTTCAGAAATCATTTTTTAGAGTTACCAGAACTTTGAAAGTGAGAGAATAATTGGCCTGCATGTCTCAGATGTATATATCACAGTGGCAGATAATAGCTAAACGGCATTTGTTTTCTTCCAAAAATCCAATCCTATCTCATTTTACACATTTGACTATCTTTCTGTATCAATTTTAGTTATCTTCTTTTCATCATATATTATGTATTCATTCACCAAGTATTGATTTAACATCTACTGTATGCCAGTTTTGTTTGCGTGCAGAAGATACAGCTCTGACAATATAACGACTCTGTGTTCTAGTGGTCGAAGAGAAAGATGCTGTGTGCTGTTTATGAAAGTGTGATCAGGAAAGGACCTCTATGAAGTCAGTATTTTTTTTTTTTTTTTTTTTTCAAAAGATGACCGGTAAGGGGATCTTAACCCTTGACTTGGTGTTGTCAGCACCACGCTCACCCAGCGAGCCAACGGGGCATCCCTATATGGGATCCGAACCCGTGGTCTTGGTGTTATGAGCACCGCACTCTCCCGAGTGAGCCTCAGGCCGGCCCTGAAGTCAGTATTTTTTTTTTTTTTTCAAAAGATGACCGGTAAGGGGATCTTAACCCTTGACTTGGTGTTGTCAGCACCACGCTCACCCAGCGAGCCAACCGGCCATCCCTATATGGGATCCGAACCCGTGGTCTTGGTGTTATGAGCACCGCACTCTCCCGAGTGAGCCACAGGCCGGCCCTGAAGTCAGTATTTTAATGAATGCAAATTTGAATGAAGTCCGGCAGCACATTCTGAATATTCTGGCCAGGTGGTGTACCCTGTACCGTGAACCTGAGACTGGAATCTTTAGTGTGTGCAGGACAGTGGTGAGCCAGGCTTGAAGTAGGTTGGCGGGGGAGCTCCTTGAGAGAGGCTGTGAGAGAGGGAGCTGGGCCAGGCTGTGTTTGGCCTTGTTTGTCACTGTAAGCTCAATAATTTTATTCTAATTGAGGTGGAGTCATAGGTGGGTTTTGAGCAAAGGAGCACATATTCTGATTCATGTTTATCTCTGGCTGCTGTACAGGGGAATGCTGGCAGAAGGGTGGGGGAAGGAATTAAGTCAGGGAGGGCAGTTAGCAGTAGTCAGTGTGGGTAGTGATGGCTTGTACTGCGGGGAAGTCCTGAAAGTTGAAGGACATGTGGAACTGTTGATATATTTTGAAGTTGTAGCCAAAACAGGATTTGCTGTTAAATTGGATTATGGGTATAAGAAAAAGATAATAATCAAGCATTATCTCAAAGGTTTTATCCTAAGGCACTGGCTATGTGGTGATACCATTAACTGAGATGGGAGAAAGTGGGAGAAGCAGTTTCAGGAGGAAACAAGTAAAGATATAGATGAATATAAACAAATATTGTCTGTATAAAATAGTAGTAGTACTTGCTCTGTTGAGAATAAATGTTACAAAAATAAAATATTGAAAAATGATAGCACGTAAGTCAGTTATCATTTGATCAGAATTGTGTTCTAAAATCTTTTAGTTGTTTAAAAGAAAATTTGTTGAGTTAAATATGAATGGTAGAAGTTAATGAGTGAATGCTAAAAGATAATAATAATAAAAGATAAAAAACTTTTGAAGGGAAGAAAATGGAAAAGAAAAATAATCAAATATATTGGATTAGACCAAAAAGAACAGTGAAAGAGTGGAGAAAAGCAAGTAAAAATTAGAACAAGTTGGAACTGTAAGTGAAAAAGAGGACACCAGTTCACATATTTTGGTAATTATAATTTACTCAAAGGGATGAAACCCTCTTATTAAAAGACAGATATTGTCATATTGGATTTTTAAAAATCTGGATATATGGTGCTTGAGAATCACACGTGAAATATGAGCAGGAAACCTTGGAATGTAAAAGAAACAATGATATACAGTCAAATATTAAACAAAATATAACCCTTGGTATACCATCAGGATTCCAGTGTACCCAATTTTAGTTTTTGAGTTTCTTTTTGAAGAATTTCTCACTATTTGCAAGGATTTATAGTTCATGTCTTTCATAATTTCTTATAAATTATAAGAAATTTTAACTTGAATGAACAAAAAAAATCTACTTATTTTTTAATTGAATACTACTCATTCTATTTTGTAGTTACCATATGGATGAATTAGTCTCATTTATAAGTCTGTGAAACATTACAGGATCGTAATGATATATTTTTCCTAAGTTTGAAATGTTTTGCTATTCTATCACCTTAGCAGTTATTTCAGCATTACTCATCAATTTTGTCCACCTGTGATAAAGTAGACTAAAATAGTAAGAAAGTAGAGGAATGATGGAATTGCCTAGAAGGGTAATGCAATAATGACATAAATGGCTACTGTTATATCATCCATCGGTTTTCTCATTGACTTGCCTGAAATATTGCATCATTTGTGATGAAGATACAGTAGAGGACTGGCATTCCTTTCTTTTTTGTAGTTTCTTTCTTTTTTGAGCTTTCATTAGGCACTGCTGAGAATTCAGAATTTTTATTTTCTTCCGTTAACTGCAAAGAGTAGACAATTGGCAGAAGAAAGATGTTTCACAATTATTAGACAAATCAGAAGATGAAGATAGAGAGACAGGTAGAAGCACTGTAGACTTAATGATTATGTTGTAATTGATTGTGTTAGTGAACTCTCAGACTATGAGTTCTACCCTGGATGAATAAAGGTGTGCATCTGATCCTATTATAAGAACAACCTGAACGTGTACTTCCTTTGGGCGTTATGAATCCGAGCTAGAATGCAAATACACTCAGACAATGTTGTAGTTTTTTTTGGTGGCTGGCTGGTACGGGGATCCAAACCCATGACCTTGCTATTATGAAGCTGCACTCTAACCAGCTGAACTTAACAGACTTTCCTTTGAACATGTGGAAACTGGTACCTTCTGTAATTAAATTTAGTAGTGGTATGTAGAATAGAAAAGAGGGGGATGGGATGGGAAGCATGTACATTAGTGAGGCTCTTGCTTCAGATAAGAACTAGATCCTGACCTAATTTTTCCAAATCTAAGTGTTCATTTAAATCTCTCCTCATCACCGTTACCTGTTGATTTTCCTTATAATTTTACTTTCTATTTGTTGAGTTGTTGGGCTGATCCTATTCCCTGTGAGGTTCCTCATCCCAGGATCAAACAGTCATCCAAACATCTTTTGCTTATTTATTGTGTGTGTTTATTTCAAATTTTCTATTCGTTTTTTTGAAGATCACATTTTTGAAGTGCCAAATTATGTGTTTTGTTGCCACATTTCCCAGTCATTTTTCAATACTGTCAGTTGTTTTTTCAAAACCTCTGAAGCGAAGAAGTATACCCTTGGGATTGCTTTCACACCGAAATACTGGGCTGTAATATGGCATGTGACTATATCTTCTTTTCATGAGAAGTGTGTTAACATTTATAAGGTATGGTAAATTATTCTCACTTCTAGAATTCTGGAATATTGATGTCCTGATGGAGAAAAGCCAGGAAAACCAAGACCAGCATTTGTGGAATGTGGATTTTGTCAACAAAAAAACACTGACTAAGGAGAGAAATGGTGTATTAGGAAAAACATTTAATGTGGGTACAAACCCTGTTCTATCAAGAAAAATAACTGGTAACCGTGATTCATATGGAATGAGTTTGAATTACATTTCAGAATTAATTATTAGTAATAGAAACTCTTGTTTAAGGAAGCCCATTGTGTTCAGTGCACATGAGAAATTGCTCCTCTGTACAAGGCATGAGAATCCTCATTCCAGAGAGGAACCTTTTCAATATGATAGAAATTGGAAAGCCATTGGTCAAAATGAGGACATATGTCAGCATCAGGATATTCAAACTCTAAAGCAATTTTTTGAATGTAATGAATGCGTGGAAGCTTTCCAGGAGGAGGCAGCCTTCATTACCCATAAGAAAGCATGCTCATGGGAGAAGGACTGTGAATATAATGAACATGTGAAAACCTTTTCTGATGATTCGAACCTTCTTGTCCATCAGAGAACTCACACAAGGGAGAATCACTGTGGATGTAATGACTGTGGGAGGAGGTCTGTTGATGAGAAGCCAACTCTAAATAAACACCACAAAGTTATCTGGGGGAAAGAATACTATGGGTATAATGAGAGGGAGAATGGTTTTGGCAAGAAGTCACTCCTCATTCATACTCAGCAAACTTATAAAGGGGAGAAAAACTTGGACTGTAATGGAGATTGGGAAGTATTTTGCAAGAAGCCATATTTCACTCAGCATCAGGAAACACATATAGGAAACAAAGCTTATAAAAGTAATCAATATGCTAGTGCACTTTGCAATGAGCCAAAGCTCCCTGTATGTCATAAAACAGATATAGGAGAAAAACTCTATGAATGTAGTGAATGTGGGAAAACCTTCAGCCATAAATCCTCTCTCATCCTACATCATAGGATACACAGAGGGGAAAAACCTTATGAATGTACCAAATGTGGGAAAGCTTTCAGATACAGGTCAGGCCTTGCAGTACATCACAGAACACACACAGGGGAGAAACCCTACGAATGTAGTGAATGTGGAAAAAATTTCTGTGAGAAGTCAAATTTTCGTGTGCATCAGAGAACACACACAGGGGAGAAACCCTATGCATGTAATGAATGTCAGAAAGCCTTCAGTGATAGGTCAGCTCTCACTGTACATCAGAGAATACATACTGGGGAGAAACCCTATGAGTGTAAGGAATGTGGGAAAACCTTCTCCCAGAAGCCAAACTTCATTAATCATCAGAGAACTCATACAGGAGAGAAACCCTATGAATGTAGTGAATGTGGAAAATCCTTCTCAGTGAAGTCAAAACTTAGAGAACATCAGAGAACTCACACAGGAGAGAAACCCTATGAGTGTAATGAGTGTGAGAAAACTTTCTACCACAAGTCATCCCTCACGGTACATCAGAGAACCCATACGGGGGAGAAACCCTATGAATGTATTGAATGTGGGAAAACCTTCTACCAGAAGTCATCCCTCACAACACATCAGAGAACACACACTAGAGAGAAACTTTATGAATATAATGAAAACTTTCACCAGAATTCTGACTCCTCTAGACATCAGAGACAACACACAGGAAAACCCTGTCAACATCCTGAAGACTCAGCAGCTTTCACCCTCATTGTATAGCAGAAACAACTCAGGGTGAGGTTGGGGGACCCAATAAATATGAGAAGTCTTTTGCCCAAAAGTGACTTTTATTGAACATCAACTAATTGATATTTGAAAACCTTATTAATATTTTGAAGATGTTACAGTGTCCACAAAAGTTTAAACTACATCCTATATTGGTGAGTTTGTACTGAATAGAACTGTATCATTTTGGGATTTGTGAATTTAAAATTTTATCTTAAAATATAGTAGAATTTAAAAAGCATTAATGAATTGAATAATTACTGATATTAAAAATATGAAAAGGGTTTTTCTTTTTCAAGTATTCTATAAAAGATACTTGTACTTTATAAATCATCCTTAACATACTTATAAGTGTGCTATATAAGAAAAATTTTGCATGTTAGGCTTCCCAATTGGAATCTAATATTATAGTAGGAAATATATGTTTGCTTAATAACTTTTATGATGTTTTTATCTTATAGTTTTTAATATGAATATGAAATGTATAAGGTATACCATACTTAATACCTTTATAATTCTTTATATTAATTGAAGTTTTTATTTAGATAATTGTGGATTGTAATATGGAGTTGTAAGAAGTAATACAGAGAGATCCCCAGTTTCCCCATTTGGTAACACCTTGGAAAACTATGGCACAGTGTCAGCCAGGATAATGACAGTGTTACAATCCACCAATCATGTTCAGATTTTCCCAATTTTATTTGTATACATTTATGTAGTATATGTGCATTTAGTTCTATGTAATGTATCACACATTGGTTCTTATATCCACCACCACAGTCAAGCCTCAGAACAGCTCCATCACCACAAGGATTCTGTTTGTTGCCCTTTTGTAACAACACTGACCTCCCTGCTGCACCCCCTTCAGTCCTTTCTGAATTCTGGCAACCAGTAATGTGTTCTCCATTTCTAAAATTGTGTCATTTAAAAAATGTTAATATGAATGGAATTACACAGTATGTTATTGTTTAGAATTGGCTTTTTTTCCCCACCCAGCATAATTCCCTGGAGTTTCACTCATCTGCATTTTCCCATGTCAATAATTCCTTCATTTTTGTTGTTGAGTATTATTCCATGGTATGGACATACCACAGTTTGTTTATCCATTCACCCATCAAAGGACATTTGAGCTGTTTCCATTTTTGAGTATTATAAATAAAGCTGCTATGAACATTTGTATGCAGATTTTTGTGTGAACATATTCTCATTTCTCTGGGATGGATACCTAAGAGGGCAGTTCCTGGGTGGTATAGTTGTTGCATGTTTAGTTTTTTAAGAAACTGCCAAACTATTTTCCAGAGGGGCTGTACTATTTCACATTCCCACCAATAATGTATGGGTGACCCAGTTTGTCCACATTCTCACCAACATTTGGTTTGTCACTTTTTAATTTTAGCCATTCTGGTAGGTGTATAATGATATATCATTGTGCTTTTAATTTACATTTTCTTGATGGCTAATGTTAAACATTTTCCCATGTTCTTATTTGCCACCTGTATGTCCTCTTCAGTGAAATGTCTGTTCCTGCCTTTCACCCATTTTTATTTGATTTAATTTATTTATTTTGGTGGCTGGCCAATATCGGGATCTGAACCCTTGACCTTGGTGTTAGCAGTGCTGCACTCTAACCATTGTCCATTTTAAAATTGGATTGTTTTTCACTGTTGAGTTTTTTTTTGTTGTTGTTGGCTGGCCAGTATGGGGAGCCAAACCTATGACTTTGGTGTTATAACACTGCACTGTAACCAACTGAGCTAACTGGCCAGCTCTTAGTTTTGAGTTTTCAGAATTACATATTTTAGATACTAGTTTTTTTGTCAGATATGTGGTTTGCAAATGCTTTTTCTCAGTCTATAGCTTGTCTTTTCATTCTCTTCTCATGGTCTTCTGCAGAGTGAAAGTTTTTAATTTTATGAAGTCCAATTTATTAATTTTTCTTTTTATGGATCATGCTTTTGGTGTTGTCTAAGAATTTTTTGCATGGTCCTATTTTTTTCTAAAAGTTTTATAGTTTACTTTTTTGCATGTAATCCACAAACAGTTTGAATTAATTTATGTATAAGGTCTGAGGTTTAGGTCAAGGTTCATTTTTTGGCTTATGGATATCCACCTGTTCCAGTACTATTTGTGGAGAATGCTGTCCTTCATCTATTGAGTTAATTTTGCACTTTGTAAAAAGTTAGTTAGCATATTTGTGTGGCCTTATGTCTGGATTCTTTATTCTCTTCCACTGATCTGTGTCTATCTCTCTACCACCACCATGTTGTCTGGTTACTGTAGCAATATATAGTAAGCTTTAATATCAGGTAGAGTGATTTCTCCCACTTTATTCTTTTTCAAGATTGTTTTAGCTATTTCAGATAGGGCCTGTGCTTTTTCATATAAAGTTTAGAATAAGCTGTTTGTGTGTACAAAAACCTTGCTGGGATTTTGATAGGAATTGTATTAAACCTATAGATCAACTTGGGGACAGTTGATATGTTAACTATATTGAGTCTTCTAATCCATGAACATGGTATATTACTCCATTGATTTTGATCTTTGATTTCTTTCAGCGGCACTTTATAATTTTCAGCATGCATGGATCTACATGTTTTGTTAAGTGCACTCCTAGGTATTTAATTTTCTTTGGAGCAGTTATAAGTGGTACTGTGTTTTCAATGTTTGTCTCTGTATGATTTTGTTGGTTTCTAGAAATGTGATTGATTTTTTTTTTCCTTTTTGTCTTTTTTACTGACCGGTAATGGGATCGCAACCCTCGGTGTCGCGCCCGTACCGCGCTCAGCCAGTGAGCGGGAACCGGTCTCCACATGGGATCTGAACCCTTGGCGGGAGCGCCGCCGCGCTCCCAAGTGGCACACTCTCCAGTGCACCACCAGGCTGGCCCATAGAAATGTGATTGATTTTTGCATGTTTATCTTATACCCTGTGATCTTGATGAATTCACTAGTTTTAGGAGTTTCTTTTGGTAGATTCCTTGGGATTTTTTATGTACACTGTCATGACATCTCCAAATAGGGATAGTTTTATTTCTTCCTTTATACTCTGTATGCCCCTTTTTTCCTTACTCATTGTAGGACTAGAACATCTGACACTATGCTGAATGAGAATGGTTAGAGTGTTTCCAATCTTAGGGGGAAAACATTCAGTCTTTCACCATTAAGTATGACATTATCTATAGATTTTTTTATTCTCTTTATCAAATTGAGGTAATTTTCTTCTGTGTTGGGTGTTCCCAAGCCCATCCCCAGGTTTGGTGATTTGCTTGGAAGACTTAGAGGACTCAACATAACTGTCACACTCATGGCTAAGAATTTATTACAGTGAAAGGATACAAAGCAAAATCAGCAAAGGCAATAGGTACATGGGTAGAGTCCAGAGGAAAACAGGGACAAGCTTCCAAGAATACTCTCCTGATGGAATCACACAGAATGCACTTAATTCTTTCAGCATCAAATTGTGACAATATATGTGAAGAGGTGTCTATCAGGAAAACTCATTAGAGACTCACTGTCCAAAGTGCTCTGCCAAGCATGTACCAAAATTCCAGATTCCCAAAAGGAAGGAGATTTCAGTCTGAATTATTTGTTTGCACAAACAGTTTAGGCACAGTGAGCCATTCTTATCAGGGAATTGTGTTAACGATCTCGAAATCCAAGTTCCCATGGACCAACAAGACTCCAACCTTGTAAGTGGGTCATTCTAAGGGTGCCCGTCTCAGACTTGCTATGTTAGTTTTTTTCTGCATGCTTTTTATTCCTAACTTACTGGGAGTTTGTCCTGGTATTGGATTTTGTCAAATGCTTCTGCATTTGATATGATCATTTGATTTTTCTCCATTATTCTGTTTATATGGTCTATTACATTATGGCTGTTCTAATGCTTAACTAACCTTGCTACTTGGAATAAATCCCTCTTGATCATGGTGTACAATTCTTTTTATACACTGGTGATTTTGGTTGGTGAATATCTGTTACGTATTTTTGTGTGTAAATTCATGTCAGTGATTGATCTATAGTTTTCCTTTTTTGTGCTGTCTTTGGTTTTGATATTAGGCTTTGGTACTAGCCACAGAATGAGTTGGGAAGTTTCCCTCCTCTTCCGTTTTCTGGAAGAGAATGTCTAATTGGTGTTAGTTGTTCTTTAAATGGTTGATATATTGTCCAGTGAATCTGAATCTGGAGATTTTTTTGTGAAGCTTGATAACTGAATTCAACTTTTTTAATGGTTGTAGGACTAATTATTCTTGGTTGAGTTTTGGTAGTTTGTGGTTTTTGAGGAATTGGTCTATTTTTTTTCAAGTTGTTAAATTTATGAGAATAAAGTTTTTTGTAGTATTCCCTTATTATCTTTTTAATGGCTGCAGAATCTGTAGTGACATTCCTAATTACATTCCTAATATTGGTGATTTGTGTCTTCTTTTTGTCAGTCTTGCTAGAATTTTATCAATTTTATTGATTTTTTTAAATAACCAGCCTTTTGTTTATTGATTTTTTCTATTATTTTCGTGTTTTTAATTTTATTGATTTCTAAGCTTTTTATCTTTATTATTTCCTTTTTTCTTGCATTGAGTTTATTTTGATCTTCTTTTTGTTGTTTTTTGAGGTAGGATCCTAGGTTATTGATTTGAGACCATTCCTTGTTTCTAAGGTAAGCATTTCTTGCTATAAATTTCTCTTTGCTTCCTGCATTTTTTGATATATTGTATTTTTATTTTATTTGGTCTGTATATTTTAAAAATTTCCCTTAAGACTTCTACTTTGACCCATGAATTACTTAGAACTGTGTTGTTTAATTTCTATGTGTTTAAAGAATTTCCTATTCTGTTTTTTTTTTTTTTTTTTAAAAAGATGACCGGTAAGGGGATCTCAACCCTTTAGAGGGAGGGAGAGAGAGAACCGAAGCAAATGTGGCAAGTTGTTAAGAATGGTGGATATAGGTGAAGGGTTATGGAAATTTGTTGTACTCTTCTTGCAAATTTTTTTTTTTTTTTTAAAAGATGACCGGTAAGGGGATCTCAACCCTTGGCTTGGTGCTGTCAGCACCATGCTCAGCCAGTGAGCAAACCGGCCATCCCTATATAGGATCCGAACCCACGGCCTTGGTGTTATCAGCACCGCACTCTACCGAGTGAGCCACGGGCCAGCCCTCCTGTTCTGTTTTTGATTTTTAGTTTGATATCATAATCAGAGAGCATACTGATTTCAGTATAAACATGTGATTTCAGTTCTTTTAAATTTGTTGAGGTTTGTTTTATATGTGGGTATGGTCTATCTTGGTGAATATTCCATGGGCACCTGAAAAAAATACATGTGTTTTGCTGTCATTGTTTGGAATGTCAGTTAGATCCCATTGGTTGCTTGTGTTGCTGAGATTTTTTATATACTTGGTGATATTTTGTTTATCCTTTCATTTGTTGAGAGTAGGATGTTGAAATTCCCAATTATAATTGTGGGTTTGTTTTTTAGATTTATTATATTTTTCACATTTTGTCATATATTTATGCTTTATATATTTTGAGACTCTCCTGGTTGGTACATGTACGTTAATGATTGTTATGTCTTCCTAGTGTATTGCTCCTTTTAGCATTATGTAATATCTCTCCTTGTGTCCAGTAATTTTCTTTGCTCTGAAGTCTACTGTATTAGTCTGTTTCTGTTGCTTATAAGAGAAATACTTGAAACTGGGTAATTTGTAAGGAAACAATATTTATTGCTTACAATTTTGGAGGCTGGGAAGTCCAAAGCCCACAGAACATATCTGGTGAGGGTCTTGTTGGTGGGTGGTGACTTTTCACAGCAACACAGGATGTCACATGGCAGATGGCAGGAGCAGAGAAAGAGAGAGCTTCTCATGTGCTCTTCTTTTAAAGCCGTCAGAACCATGCCATGGGCACCGTTAAACCATCAAAGGATTAATCCGTTCTCTAAGGCATGGTCCTCAGAATCTAATTGCCTCTTCAAGGCCCCCACCTTTCAATTACCATAATAGGATTTCCTACTCTCCCAACAGTCACAGTGGGGATCAAACCTCAATGAGTCTTGAGGGGGGACATTCAATCCACAGCAGATACTATACTGGATGTTGTACTTTTTGTAATTTTCCCACAGCTTTTG